AGCTATACCCCCATGTCCTGTTGAGCTTGTTTCCTTGACTCTGTCCTGCTCAAATCAGCAAATTACTTCGTTTACCTCACATTTCTTCATTTTTTTTAAGAACCTACGTTTTTGAGGTTCCAAGAGAGACGAGTCAAGCAGGAGATTTAGATCCACAACCGTCAAAGAGTCAAAGGTAGTTGTGGTAAAACTCATCAAATCAGAGTCAGAGTCAGATTTTCTTTATTTGTCATTCACATCACATGTGGTACATGTAGTGCAACAAAATTGTGTACACAGGATCCCAGTTACATCCAACAACAGCAAAAATATAAAGTGTACGAAGAAACAGTAAATAAGGATCTGAGATATAAACTAAGATTTACACTAAACAGTTCACTAAAAGATCGAAGCTATAAGCCAGTCACTAATGGTGCAAAACAATACACAGAACAACAGCAACATGATTCTCATAGGTTCTGTTTGGATATAATTTAAATGCTTAATGCAAACACTAGCATAAACTAAACTAACATAAACTATGATTTATTCAAAGCATGCAAGAAAAATACAGAAACAAGGCAGCAAAAGTGAACAAGAAATAAATCTACATATGTGAATAAGACATAAGAAAGAAATTATCAGAATTTAGGAACTGTTTTTTCACCACATTTTTTTTTTCTTCTTGCAAACTTCAAGAAGATCTGGAGGAAAGACTTGAAGATACAAAACATGTTCAACAATTGTTCTCTTGGAAAACTGAAGACCACAATCAGAATTGAAAATGAGAACTGTGATGTGTAGATTAATGCTCTGACATTGAGAAACACACCGTGTGTCATTCTAGATTATTATAATTGAAAAAAAAGTTGTTATTAGTCACTTAATTTATTCTTACTTTGTGGCAATTTTGAATGTTCAAAAAGGAAATGAATGCAAAAAGGTTTTTAGTCATTGTCATAGTTTTAGACTTTCAGAACATCAGGGAGCATCCAGAGTTGAACTGGAGAGCTGTTGATCTGCAGTCAAACGCTCTACCACTGAGCTATACCCCCATGGCTAATCTGAGCTTTTTACCTTGACTCTGTCTTACTCACATCAGAACGTTTACATTTTTATCTCACCCATTTCTTCCTTAGTTTTTATGACCTACTCTTGATGTTCTAAGTGACAATAGTGAATTTGTAGATGGTTCTTTGTTGTTATTCACAATACCATATAAAATAGCATAAGAAAAAAATATTTTAATTTAACAACAGTCATTTCACCTCTTTTGTATTCTTCTTGCAAAATACCTCAAGAAAAACTCAAGAAATGCCATGAAGATACTAAACATGATCTACAATTGTTCTCTTGCTAAAAATAAGGTCACGTCCAAAATAGAATAGAGAGCTTTTTTGTTTATAATTATGCTCTGGCATTGGGAAACGCACCTAGTGTCATCCTAGAATGATATTATAATTGAAGAAAGAAGTTATTCGTCCATTAAATACTTAATTTTGTCTCAATATTGAAAAAACAAACTGAATCTGTAAAGGTTGACAACCTTTGACTGTTTTCAACTTTCAATAATCCAGGGAGCATCAAGAGTTTTACTGGAGACCTGTTGATCTGCAGTCAAATGCTCTACCACTGAGCTATACCCCCATGACATGTTGTGTCTTTTTACCTTGACTCTGTCCTAATCAAATCAACATGTCTACAGTATTCATTTGTTTATCTCACACATTTTTTTCTTGTTTTTAATAACCTAATCTTTTGAGGGTCCAAAGACGACGAATCAAGCAGAAGATTTAAGTCCACAACAGACTAGAGTCAGTGATAATCACAATAACGTCAAGTCAAGTAAAGGTTCTTTGTTGTCATTCACTA